CGACAAAGATGTCGATATGGCTGCTGAAAGAGTCTTTATCTATCCATAATCATATAAACCCGTGGAACACCATCCAGACTTAGCTAATCAATGTAAGTCCTTAAAGCTGAATCGAACTCAACTTTGAATCACGGAGCGGAAATCATTGTCACTGACGTAACTCAAGAAGCCGTAACATCGAAGAAATAAGAGTAACTATCGCTAGAGCAAGCTCATCGTCTTTCTAAATACCCAACTATCAGACTCAAGTCTGCTACATCAGTCTACAAGGATTTAAGCCGGCCGAGTGACGTCGGGGCTAAACTAAGTCCTACCGACTTTGAATCATGCATTTCTAAGGAAAACCCTAGTCAACCCTAAACTAAGGCCCAACATACTTCTGACAACCAGTATTCAAACATACAAATAATTCATATAGCAAAGAAGGTCAATTAATAACAATAAACATGCTCACAGTTACCCGATAATTCTCAGAAAAAGGGCGAAAATATGATTCTTAACACCTATGGATGATCCAATAACTACCCAACCCAAATCCCAACTAATCAACATGCATTCACATGTTCGAGTTCAATCTAAGAAGAGAAACCATAGCCTACCTGAACGCAGATCACGCGCGCTCCAAAATTCACTCCCCGGATCTTTTACTTTCTAAAAGGCCTCGAAACGTTGATACACTAAAATCGCAAGAAACGGAGACGGGTCAATTTCATGGTCAAAATGGAAAAAGTGGGATCCGCATTGAGAAATCCCGAATTAACCCCAAATAAAAGTCCTAAATAACTCTCGAAACTTGTATACCATAATGGAGCATAATTCAGGACTAAAAACAGTCCCAACATGAACATGCAACAAAAGAACCCAAATTCTAAGCTAAAAATCAGCAACTATGGCAGCAGCTACTTACAAGATTTTACCAAAAATGAAGCTCCAACAGCCAAAACCAACCACACCACGACGATCCTCATGAAAAACCACACAATATTGGCTCTTGAATCACTTGATTCGGACCTAAAATGGCCAAGAAATCACCTTCTAAAAAAACCCAAAACTTGTGCTCGAAAATGAGCTAGACAGCAGTTAAAACCCAAAATTTACCTCAAATCGGGTCCCCAAATCAGATTCCAAGCTCACCAATGCGTTGCCCTCGAAAAATCTCACAACTTAGCCTTTTGAATCGCCCAATTTGGAGTTGTATAGCTCAAGATATCAAGATTCTAAAGTAAGATACAAAGCTGAAAGTTGGGTTTTTATAGGGGCTGCACCAGATTCAGCTTTGCCTACTTTCTTTAAAGTCTCCGACGGGTGCTCGGAATTCGTTCGGAACCTGCTAAGAATAAAATGGATATGCTACCCTACCAAAGTCGACATTCCGGACTCAAAGGCGCAGTCGAAATTTTCATCAGAGGTCATCTCGATAAAATGTGGGTCCCACTTCCGTTGGTCATTTTAAGTCAAAAACCACAAAAGGGCTCGGAAAAATATCAAAAACCTCAAAACCCGAAAGAAGGGTAAAACTAGAACAAACTCGACATTCCGGAGCTAACCGCGCTGACGGAATTCTCATCCGAGCGCGTTTACTCAGAATGTTGACTAAAGTCAAACTTAGCCTTTAAACTTAAAGTTAAAACGCCTAATCCCACCAACTCACACTGAAAACTTTGGGAGTCATGTCGACAATGCTACTAGACTAAAATGACCCTTCCGGAACTGATGGAATCGTCAGAATTGGATTCTGATATCATCTTCTTGAACTTTTGATCGAGAATGATCGTTCAAGGTTCATAAGCTCCAAAAATACTAAAACTCACACAATAACCAAACGAATGACCAGGTGACCGATCAGTCAGTCCCAACAAGTCATAAATGACTTGGAATCGCTATAGGAACGCTCTAAATGATGTACAGAAGATAAAACACTAAAAATTACAATAAGGGTCATTACAATATCCACTACTAAAAAGAACTTTCGTCCGCGAAAGTAAGGGTCAAGAAGTACCTGAAGGCTCAAACAAGCCGGGAAACTGCTCTCGCATCTCCTGCTCGGTCTCCCAGGTAGCCTCCTCGACTTAACGATGCCTCCAACAGACCTTAACAATAGGAATGGCTCTCGAGCGCAATTTCCTCACATCTCTGGCTAGGATGGCAACTGGCTCTTCTACAAATGTCAAATGATCATCCAACTCAATTGCATCATACTGGAGCACATGGGACTCATCAGGAATATATCGACGTAGCATCGAGACATGGAAAACTGGATGGATGGGTGAAAATGCTAGAGGTAGGGCCAACTCATAAGCAACCTCCCCAACTGTCCGAAGTATCTCAAAAGGCCCAATATACCTGGGGCTAAGCTTACCCCGTCTCCCAAATCTCATCACACCCTTCATGGGCGACACACGGAGAAATACCCGATCACCAACAGAGAATCTCAAAGGTCGACGCCTCCGATTCGCATAACTCTGGTGCCTACTCTGAGCTGTCCTAAGTCTATCCTGAATCACTCTCACCTGCTCCAAAGCCTCCTGAATCAAATTTGTACCTCGCGGCCTAGGCTCTGTAGACTCGAACCAGCCCACTGGAGTGCGACAACGCCTACCATACAATGCCTCAAACGGGGCCATCAGAATGCTAGAATGGTAGCTGTTGTTATATGCAAATTCTGCCAAAGGCAAGAACTGGTCCCATTGACCACCAAACTCCAAAACACAAGCCCGTAGCATGTCCTCAAGGACCTGAATAGTGCGCTCTGACTGACCATTAGTCTGCGGGTGGAAAGCTGTGCTCAGGTCAACCCGGGTGCCCAACTCATCCTGAAAGGTCTTCCAAAAGCTAGACGTGAACTGAGAACCCCGATATGATATAATAGAAACTGGCACCCCATTAAGTCGAACCACCTCTCGAATGTAGATACGAGCCAACCTCTCGGCACTAAATGAAGATTGAACGGGAAGGAAATGTGCTGACTTGGTCAATCGATCAACGATGACCCAAATACTATCAAATCCTCTAGAAGTCCTCGGTAGACCAGCCACAAAATCCATAGTAATGCGATCCCACTTCCACTCCGGAATGGGTAATCCCTGAAATTCACCCCCAGGCCTCAAATGCTCAGCCTTTACCTGCTGGCAGCACAAGCAACGAGAAACAAAGTCAGCAATATCTCGTCTCATGCCACTCCACCAGTAATGTTGTCTCAAATCACTATACATCTTCGCTGTACCCGGATGGATAGAATATCTAGACTCATGAGCCTCCGAAAGTATCAACTGTATCAAATCTCCAACTCTCGGGACACAAATGCGACCAGCGAATCTCAACACTCCATCAGGATCTAAGGTAGCCTGATCACCATTACCCGCTAACACTCGATCTCTAAGGGACCCCAGGGCCTTATCCTCAAATTGACAACCACGGATCCTATCATACAAAGAAGACTGAACTCCCATATAAGCCAAGACGCGTCTAGAATCTGATATATCTAATCGAACCATGCTATTGGCTAAAAACTGAATGTCCAAAGCCAAGGGTCTTTCACCTGCAGATAAGAAGGCTAGACTACCAATACTCACCGCCTTTCGGCTCAAGGCGTCTGCTACCACGTTCGCCTTGCCCGGATGATAGAGAATGGAGAGATAATAATCCTTCAGGAGCTCAATCCAACGATGCTGCCTCGAATTAAGGTCCCTCTGGCTCATGATGTACTGAAGACTCTTGTGGTCAGTATAGATCTCACATCGAACTCCATACAAGTAGTGCCTCCAAATCTTAAGCGCGAAAACTACCGCTGCCAACTCCAAGTAATGGGTGGGGTAGTTGCGCTCATGGACCTTAAGCTGCCTCGACGCATACGCAATAACCCGGCCCTGCTGCATCAATACACAACCCACACCAACACCAGACGCATCACAATAAATCGTGAAACCCTCACCCTCAATCGGAAGAGTCAATATAGGAGCGCTAGTAAGCAACTCCTTGAGCTTCAGAAAGCTCATCTCACACTCCTCCGACCACACAAAGGGAATATCCTGGCGAGTCAACCGAGTCAAAGGAGCTGCAATAGTAGAAAAACCCTCAACAAAACGCCTGTAGTAACTCGCTAACCCGACAAAGCTACGAACCTCAGTAACAGAAGTGGGTCTGTCCCAATCACGAATAGCTTCAATCTTCGTCGGATCTACCCTAATACCCTCCTTGGACACCACGTGCCCCAAGAATGCTACAGACGCAAGCCAAAACTCGCACTTTGAGAACTTGGCATAAAGTTGTTGATCTCTCAAAGTCTGGAGCACTATCCTCAAATGCTGCTCATGCTCACTCCGGCTCCGCGAGTATACCAATATGTCATCAATGAAGATAATAACAAATGAATCAAGGTATGGCCTGAACACACGTGTCATCAAGTTCATGAAGACGGCTGGGGCATTAGTCAACCCAAAAGACATCACAAGGAACTCATAATGGCCGTAACGAGTCCTAAATGCAGTCTTAGGGATGTCTGCTGCTCTAATCCTCAGCTGATGGTACCCGGACCTCAAATCAATCTTAGAAAATATGACGGCACCCTGAAGCTGATCAAACAAATCATCTATACGAGGCATAGGGTAACGGTTCTTCACCGTCACCTTGTTCAGCTGTCTGTAGTCAATGCACATCCTCAAAGTCCCATCCTTCTTTTTCACAAACAGAACAGGAGCACCCCAAGGCGACACACTTGGACGAATGAACCCCTTTTCTAAGAGGTCCTTTAGCTGTACACTGAGCTCTCTGAGCTCTGCAGGAGCCATCGGATAAGGCGGAATAGAAATAGGACGAGTGCCAGGCTCCAAATCTATAGCAAAATCAATGTCACGTTCTGGGGGTAGGCCAGGTAGATCTATAGAGAACACATCTGCATATTCTCTAACCACAGGAACTGAGTCAACTGAAGGGCCCTCCCTACTCGCATCTCTGATGTGGGCCAAATACGCTAAACACCCAGAAGAAACCAACCGCCTAGCTCAAATAAAAAAGATTATCCGCGTCGGTGTGTGACTATAAGCAGCCTGCCACAATACCAGGGGAACACCAGGCATGGATAAGGTAACAGTCTTGGCATAGCAATCCAAGACCGCATGATATGGGGATAACCAGTCCATGCCCAAAATCACATCAAAATCAATCATATCTAGCATAATAAGATCAGCTCTAGTATCATAACCCTGGATGGTCACTAAGCAAGATCGCAATACTTGATCCACTACTAAGAACTCACCTATCGGGGTCGAAACATGAACCGGTTCTTCCAAAGACTCGTACCTCATACCCAATCGGAGAGCAAAATAAATAGATACATAAGAAAATGTGGACCCTGGATCCAATAATACTGTAGCAGGCTGATGGCACAAGAAGAGCGTACCTGAGATGACATCATCAGATGCCTCAGCAGCCGCCCTTGTCAGGGCAGCGTAGAAATGTCCCTGAGCACCTCTACCTGGTGCACCCGGTCTACCACCTGACCTGCCTCCCCGAGCTCCACCCCTGGTAACCTGTCGACTCTCTCGACGGTTTTGAATCTGACCACCTCCTCTAGCCGAAGAAGACACGGCTGAAACTGGTTTAGAAGTAGGTGGAGCTTGTACAATCACCCCCCGACCTCGCCGGGGGCATTCTCTAGACCAATGGTCAAGAGCACCACAATCATAACACCCCGAAGTTGAACGCCCTGTAGTAACCCGACCGCGGCATGGAGGAAAAGAATCCGATCCCCTTGAATTCTGGCCTGTACTAGGACCACTCTACTAATATTGACCTCCCTCAAAAATAGGTAATGCCGCCTGAACAGGCCGACTGGTGTGACCCTGCTAGAACCTCTGACGTGGCCTATCATATGAGTCCCTCCCCCTAGTCTACGACTCGCTATAGCTGCCCTGGTAGCGTGCCCTCTTATCGCTGCCCCCTTGGGCCTCACGATGAATATGCTCCATGGATCGGGCATGATCGACCACATCAAGAAAAGAACGGCCAGCTGAAACCATATGATCTGTGTCAACCCTCAAATGGTATCGCAACCCACGTACAAAACAACGAACTCTCTCTCCCTCTGTGGGCAGGATCATAGTAGTATGGCGAGACAACTCATGGAACCTCGCCTCATACTCTGAAACGGTCATAGATCCCTGCTCCAATCTAGAGAACTGATCATGAAGCCTGTCTCTGACGCTCCGTGGCATGAATCGGGCCAAGAAAGTCTCTGAGAACTCACTCCAAGATATAGGAGGAGATCCAACTGGCCTAGACTCCCGATACGTGCGCCACCACTGCCTGGCTGGCCCACGGAACTAATGAGCGGTAAAGTCAGCTCCTCTCGACTCCAAAAGGCCTAATGACTGTAACTGCTCCTGGCAAGTGAGCTGAAACTCGTGAGCGTCCTCTCCAATCGCCCCTGAGAATATAGGCGGTGCCAACCTCTGAAATACCCCAAGCATCTTCTGATCCCGCAGTGGCATCTCTCTAACCTCTAAGTCTGGTGAGGCGGCCACATGAACTGGTGGCGGCTGATCTTGCAGCGCTGGTGCTGGTACTGCTGGTGCTGGTGCCTGTCGCATATTCCCAATAGCAGCTAATATCTGAGTCAAGAGGGAATGAAGATCAGGTGCTGCAACTGGTGCGGGTGGTGGCTGGGCAGGCCCCGGCCCCACTGGTTGTGGTACATGCGCTGCATGAGGCTCCTTTTCCATATCCCAGGCAGGTGCTGCAGCCCTACCTCGACCTCGTGGTCGACGTCTACCCCAAGCTGAGGCTCCGGGTGCATCTCCCCCAAACGCACCGCCTCGCGTGCGAGCCATCTTGTAATAGAGTGAAACAACTGAGATTTTAAGAAACAAACAAGACACACGCAGCACGAATTTTAAACAAAATGGATATTTTCCTAAATACTTCCTGTAGCCTCCTAAAGATAAGTTACGGACGTCTCCGCACCGATCCGCAGGACTCTACTAGACGTTAGCTCTGTAAAAGTGAGACCATTGAACCTAGGGCTCTGATACCAACTTGTCACGACCCAATTTCTCGAGCCATGAAGGCACCTACTATAACCCATCAGTAGGTAAGCCAAACCACAACCCAGAACCACACATACAAGGTGTGAGGGTAGAAACTAAACAAGACTAAGTAAAATTACTATAACAACATAAGCAAACCCAAACATAAATACAATAAAGGATCCCTCCCAGAACCTGGAAGTCACTAATACAGAGCTACCAACAAAATGAGTACAAGTCCCAACAGTGGACCACCGAAACTAGACTGTCTCGAAAAATAAAAGACAAATCTTTATATAAACAGATGGAGACTGAAATAGTACAAAACGTTGTGCGCTCACCCCTGTCTCCAGACCAGAAATTCTCCAAACTTGATCAACGCTGACTACCGGTGCTCGGACCTGCATCACGAAAATAGATGCAGAGCGTAGCATGAGTACCAAAAAAAATAGGTACCCAGTAGGCATCATAGGCCGACTGAACTAGAAAAGTAAAGCACTATGAAAAGACGGAATCACAAAACTAGAGGTCAAGAACAGAAGGCTAAGTAACACAATAATGCACACGAGTGTATAAAAATCTAACTAAATTAATATAAATAAGCTAACTACACCTAACTGGACCCACCATAAGCCCAGAAGGTACACTCGTGCACAAGTTTAAATAAAAACCCGAACGGACCCCCATAAGCCCGACGAGTACACAAAATAACTATAACTTAAGGAGAATGAAACTCAAGGCCGAAGAACACCGAACCAAAAAGTAAAATCTGACGGTACGGAGGTCGGGCCTTGAACCGGACACTCACCAGAATTACACAAGTAGCCAATTGCAAAATATAACTATCTGAGGCCGGACCTCTAACCGGATGCTCTACATACTTGAGGCCGGACCTCTAACCGGATGCTCTACATACTTGAGGCCGGACCTCTAACCGGATGCTCTACATAAGTATGTGGATGTTCGAGGCCGAACCTTAAATCCGGATACCCGACAAAGATGTCGATATGGCTGCTGAAAGAGTCTTTATCTATCCATAATCATATAAACCCGTGGAACACCATCCAGACTTAGCTAATCAATGTAAGTCCTTAAAGCTGAATCGAACTCAACTTTGAATCACAGAGCGGAAATCATTGTCACTGACGTAACTCAAGAAGCCGTAACATCGAAGAAATAAGAGTAACTATCGCTAGAGCAAGCTCATCGTCTTTCTAAATACCCAACTATCAGACTCAAGTCTGCTACATCAGTCTACAAGGATTTAAGCCGGCCGAGCAACGTCGGGGCTAAACTAAGTCCTACTGACTTTGAATCATGCATTTCTAAGGAAAACCCTAGTCAACCCTAAACTAAGGCCAAACATACTTCTGACAACCAGTATTCAAACATACAAATAATTCATATAGCAAAGAAGGTCAATTAATAACAATAAACATGCTCACAGTTACCCGATAATTCTCAGAAAAAGGGCGAAAATATGATTCTTAACACCTATGGATGATCCAATAACTACCCAACCCAAATCCCAACTAATCAACATGCATTCACATGTTCGAGTTCAATCTAAGAAGAGAAACCATAGCCTACCTGAACGCAGATCCACGCGCTCCAAAATTCACTCCCTGGATCTTTTACTTTCTAAAAGGCCTCGAAACGTTGATACACTAAAATCGCAAGAAACGGAGACGGGTCAATTTCATGGTCAAAATGGAAAAAGTGGGATCCGCATTGAGAAATCCCGAATTAACCCCAAATAAAAGTCCTAAATAACTCTCGAAACTTGTATACCATAATGGAGCATAATTCAGGACTCAAAACAGTCCCAACATGAACATGCATCAAAAGAATCCAATTTCTAAGCTAAAAATCAGCAACTATGGCAGCAGCTACTTACAATATTTTACCAAAAATGAAGCTCCAACAGCCAAAACCAACCACACCACGACGATCCTCACGAAAAACCACACAATATAGGCTCTTGAATCACTTTATTCGGACCTAAAATGGCCAAGAAATCACCTTCTAAAAAAACCCAAAACTTGTGCTCGAAAATGAGCTAGACAGCAGTTAAAACCCAACATTTACCTCAAATCGGGTCCCCAAATCAGATTCCAAGCTCACCAATGCGTTGCCCTCGAAAAATCTCACAACTTAGCCTTTTGAATTGCCCAATTTGGAGTTGTATAGCTCAAGATATCAAGATTCTAAAGTAAGATACAAAGCTGAAAGCTGGGTTTTTATAGGGGCTGCACCAGATTCAGCTTTGCCTACTTTCTTTAAAGTCTCCGACGGGTGCTCAGAATTCGTTCGGAACCTGATAAAAATAAAATGGATATGCTACCCTACCAAAGTCGACATTCCGGAATCAAAGGCGCAGTCGAAATTTTCATCAGAGGTCATCTCGATAAAAATGTGCGTCCCACTTCCATTGGTCATTTTAAGTCAAAAACCACAAGAGGGCTCGGAAAAATATCAAAAACCTCAAAACCCGAAAGAAGGGTAAAACTAGACCAAACTCGACATTCCGGAGCTAACCGCGCTGACGGAATTCTCATCCGAGCGCGTTTACTCAGAATGTTGACTAAAGTCAAACTTAGCCTTTAAACTTAAAGTTAAAACGCCTAATCCCACCAACTCACACTGAAAACTTTGGGAGTCATGTCGACAATGCTACTAGACTAAAATGACCCTTACGGAACTGATGGAATCGTCAGAATTTGATTCTGATGTCATCTTCTTGAACTTTTGATCGAGAATGATCGTTCAAGGTTCATAAGCTCCAAAAATACTAAAACTCACACAATAACCAAACGAATGACCAGGTGACCGATCTGTCAGTCCCAGCAAGTCATAAATGACTTGGAATCGCTATAGGAACGCTCTAAACGATGTACAGAAGATAAAACACTAAAAATGACAATAAGGGTCATTACACAGCCAATGATAGGATTTTGCCCATGACCTCCACCCTTCTATACCAATAGGGATCGTCCCATGCTAGCTTATTGCCTCTGAGCTACCACCCTTATGTACAACTTTTGATCAACCCATGCTAGGTTACCACCTGTAATTATATAGATTGCTTCACTCAGATTCTTTAATCTTTGAGATTGTTTTTTATCAGTTCATAACTCTTTTGAGATGTTATTTTGGTGGTCATAACCATTTTGAAGATAAGGAGGTACGGAGCAGTATTAGAAGACATGAAAATAATAATTCAAGAAAATAACAATGACATAAGGAGCTATGTAACATCAACACATAAGTTAATGAGCTTAATGACAAAACGTTCTTCAAACAAATATAAAATAGTGAACATATAATGAAGTAGTTCTTTGCACTACGGAGAAGGGGAACATTGCTATTTGGAGATAGTACGCTGCCACTATGTTTCCTTTTCTATGAATACAACTTAAGAGATTCACTTCATTGGTATTAATCGCAAGTATCATATTTCATGCCAAAGGGATATAGAATCGAGTAGCCTTACATATCTTATCCTCTGACCGATATAACTATCATGATTCAGCCTCCCCTTTTTGGTTTTAATCTACAATTTAAGTCATGGTAAACAAAAATTAGAAGCTATCACACCATGAGCCTCGTAAAACAGTAGCTAAGTTTGACTGATAATGAGCCCATCCAGCACTTAACATAATGTGTATCACCACACCTTCATTCTATGTCCAACACATACATTATATATACTTTCACCAAGATCAACCAAGCTTCAGAAACAATAATACACATAGAACAACTTCATTCTTTATCATACAACCAGTTATTGAATTCACCACCCCTTGAGTTCTTCATTAAAGCACACCCTTAGTTCCTCACTCAAACTCATACACAAGGAAGAAAAAAAATGGGGCAGTCACCTTACCTCAATTTCTGCAACTTCTCCTTATAACTTGAATTCTTCTAGAACATCAGCTTCCCTTCACACTTAAACCAAAGAAGAAGAAAAAGGTCTCTTTATAACTGAGGAAGTGAGCATTAGCTTCTTGAAATTTTCTACTGTTGTATTTATACTTGAGCATGAATAACATGTTTTTCTAGTCATCCATGGGCGAATTAAGCAAAATCCAAGTGTTTTCACTTACCTAGAATAACTAGAAACTTCTATTTTAATCTTGAAGAGAAAAGGGAGAGAGAGCTGGAGATAATTCTCAATATTATATGTTAAAATGAGTGAAGAATATCTGTTCATATTGGATATATATGGAGATTTATTGATCACAAATATCCTCTAGAACTTCCATCTTTTGGTGTCCATTTTCATCCACTGATTGGTCAAGTAGGTGCTGCACCTTCTTATGCACATCAAGCAGCTCAAAAGGTCAAACTAGGTGATGCACCTAGGTGATGTACACTTTCACTTGGGCTATATTGGGCCTTAGCAGATTCGGCTGCTAGACTTTCTTTCATTTTTATTTTCTTTTAATAGTTTTGGGCTTCTAGTGAGCCCATTACTATAATTCTAAATCTGGTCCATCAAGCTTGGCACCTTTTAACAATATTTATATAGCTCAAGTAGGTGATGTAGCTGCTAGCTTAATAAAGCCAAGCAAGCAGCTCAATTATTTTATTCCTTTTATGAATATTAAATCTTTTTGCTTCAACTTTGATTTAACTTTCATATTTAAGCTCAATTACCGCCGCCTTACTATTCTAGTTTAAATACATCCAGCGGAGGCAACTTACAATAAACACGCTGAAACGTGCATGGCAGGATGCATCACTTTTCAACTAGTTTAAACCAACACTAATCATATTCATATGGTCCCTCACCTATACTATAAGGCCAACAGTATCACAAGAATAGAACAAGCATATGCGTAAGACGGGCTGTCACATCCCCCCTCTCAAAACATTTGTCCTCGAATGTTACCATAGTTATCCAGACCAAACAGATTCAAGCCTAAGTCAGTACTACTCTTAATCACATAATACATATCGACGTATACTTACTTGTCCGCATATAAACTAAACATTTTCACCTTTCTCTTGGATCTGAAAGAGATGTGGATACTTTAATTTCAATGCTTCATCAACTTCCCATGTAACTTCTTCTACTAGTTGTTTCCTCCATAACACTTCTACAGAAGCTACCTCTTTATTTCATAATTTCCTAAGTCGATCCAGAATACCTATGGGTACTTCTTCATAAGTGAGATATCTCGTAACTTTTACATCTTCTATAGGAGTGATATGAGATGGGTCACTGATATACCGTGGTTCCACGGTATAATTAATACTTTTTCCTTAAGTTTAATGTGTCCGAAAGCCCTTTTTGTGCTAATTTTGATGTAAGTTTTTCTTTGTTTTGCAGGAAATCTGTCTAAAGCTGAATGCGGAGATTTTGAGCGAAAAATGTAGAAGAGACCACCTACGCAGC